ACCCCAAGTCACCTTTATGTGGGGACTAATAAGTGCAAGGTATGTGACTATAGACCTAGTTCCAATCACAGAAAGATTTACAATGCAGCTAATAAGGCCTAAGCGTCAGGACTCATCACTTGCACAGGCCCTTTCCATGTCCCTGAGGGCAGCCCAATAAACATGGTCATACGTTTTTGCAAAATCTTTAGAATTAAACTATTTCTGCATTATTTTTCTTAAAGAGAGTCCCACCGCCAAATCGTGTAAGTTCCAGGCTCTTGAAAATGTGGATCCACCAGTGATCCCCATATACTTCCAACTTCCCTATTGCATGACTTCAGGTGTGTGCAAATCTACAAAGGAAACGACCTACAGGAACAGGTGACACATCCCCTGTATGAGGTAAAGGGGAAGAAGACTTACATCTTGGTGTGTGTTTGTGTCCCTCACCTTGGTCTTTCCTGGGTGCCAGCCCTTAGTGGGGGGCTGATCTCTTTCCTTAGCCCATTCCCTTGCTGGCTCTTTCAAGGCCAGTAACGGCGGGCCGGAGTTTTACATACTGGAACACAGGTACTCTTTTTGATGCTTCGAATTTTTAGTACGACCTTTGTCCCGTTTCTTCCGCAGGAGGTCCTTAGAGACTTTATGGTATAGAATTAACAGATCCTAAGTCACGTCTGAGCGCGGGCCCCGAAGTCAGAGGTGGCTTTACAGAGTGCCCTGTCCGGAAAAACATCTCTCAGCGGGGCCAGAGAGCCATTTAATCCGCGCTGCTGACAGCCTGCGCGCGGGCAGGGATGGCCTTCTGCCGCTGGGGAGGCCTGGCGCGCCCAGAGGGAGGGGGCCGAGGGCTGGGGGAGGAGATCGGAAGGGGAGAGGTAATCCCCGGCGCTCTGAGCATCCCCTTTTAGAAAGACTGAGTCTCTCCCAGGACAGCTGCTGCGGTCACACCACAAACTTAAAAGCCGTCCTCCCGGCTCGGAGCGTGCCTTTCCTCGCCACCCTCGCCTCCCCAAAGCTCCAGCTGGTGCCTGGCTCTCGGCTGGTCCCGGCACCAGGCTCGGGGGGCCAGCAGCGCCCCCTG